GGAGAACCCGCCGCGGTATTCGTAGCCAAAGTAGACACCTCGGAGTTGTCCATAGAAGCCGTAGACGAAAACATTTCCAAGTTTGCTAGGCTGCTACAAGCACACGGATATGGTATCTATTCCGTGGACTACACGCAGGATTTCTCCGGAACTTTGGATAGAAATGCTTTGGTGCGCAGACTGCGACAGCTGGGATACGTGCCGCAGCATAGTAGCGGTTGGCGCAACGGCACGATTTTGGAGAACACGCATGCTGTGGGAGAACATGTTTGCACTTGGATGGAAGACGGAAAACGTACGAAGATATACAACAAAATAGTATCCAACTTCGAAGCCGGAGAAGTGCAGAATCCAGTAGGAGCAAAGCTAGCAGAGTACGTGGATTGTCCGAACGACCACCTGCGTAGAACATTCCTGCACCCAGACGTGCAGAAAAGAGGATGCAGCAGAGTGGAAATATCCATCTACGGCAAAGACTTCTCCAAATCCCACACCAACGCTATTGCGGAGACGCTAGAACCTTTGCAGGACATATTCGTAGTACAGCCGCCAAAGAATTTGTGGTTGGCTCTCGCAGAACACTTGGATAGATGCTGCTGCATTTGCTGCGAAGAGACGGGAGAAATATTCCTAGCGTGGTACTGCAATTTGGGAACAAGGCGCATAGCCGGTGTGCGAGTTCGAGGCAACGAAAAGTGGGAACAATGCGTACTTTGGACGATAGCAGAGTTTGGGTTCCGAAAATGTCCTATATTCCGCGTGGATATTCTGGGAACAGACCCGGTGGAAATAGCTCCACTGCGCTGCTACACGAAGGACTCCCCAACCATACTAGCGGAGTCCAAGTTTCCCACTCGAGTGCATGCAAATGCCCCCACCATTGCCACGATGCTACCCCCAACGGAACACGTAGAGTGGGTTTGGCGCACAAAGAAGGCACAAAGGATCGGAGTAGAAAAGAGTCCGTTCGGCATTTTGGAAGTGCCTTCCTCCCGCAGAATATCCTTCCTGTCCAAGAGAAMACGACAGCAAAGATTGGAAGACATACGGGRCGATTTGGAAGGCGACGAGTGGGTCGAAGCCACGAAAAGATACCACGCAGAACTGTCGGAACAAAGGCAGTCCATCCTGCGGCAAAAGGAAGAAGACAGGAAAGCCATAGAAAAAGAGTTGGAAAAATATAGGAAACTMTTGGATAGGATTTCCAGAAGGACAGACAATCTGCGTAGATTGTTCTTTGGAGAGGAAAGCCCAGAGACGCCTAGGGCCAAAGTGCATAGGATGGACCAAATACCTGCAGGAGACTACACGATACTAGGATATGCGATCCCCAGAGACTTGGATGCCAACTGGTTGGCAAGAGGACACCGCGTAGTATTGCGAAGGAATAGAGAAACTTCTGTAGCATGGGCCACAGAAGCCCTATTGGAAGCGTGTGCGGCTGGAAAGTTCGAAGCGAACGGCAACATACGCACTGCCATACCAGGAGAAGAAATATTGGTGGAGTGGCAGAACAACATAGCCACTGTCTTCGTGCCGGAAGGACCCGGTTTGGATATGTACTACGAGTTGGCTAGGAAAATAGAATATCCCAAACACCCGGAAAGACTACTAGAAGTGCCKGCGCCACCCAACAAAGAATGCGTGCAGGCGCTACATATGCATCCAGGCGAGTACCAATGCTGGAAATACGCCAAAACCACCTACAGAAAAAAAGAAAGGACAATCCTATTCCTTTCCGAAAAATGCTCGGAGTGCGTTTTGGAGGGCTGTATGGTGGAGCACGCCACTACTCCGGTCTGGGGACACTTTCTGGACGAGCAAAAGATAGACTGGACGTCTCCACCACCGCTATACTGCAAAATAGGTAGGGAAAAGACTACCAAGGCAAAGAAGAAAGACAGACTGGTGCACGTCTCTACTCCGGAATCCTAGGCCTGCAAAGGGCGTTCGCCTCTACTCCATCTCCGGAATCCTAGAATTTCTCTGCGGCTCCGTTGGATGTCTGTAGTAGACAACTTTGGGTGGTTGCATGCGCGCCCAAACGACAGCAGCCACGCCCACTAGCGCAAATAGTACATTGCCGGCTATTTGCCAGTCTATTTTCGTGGATACTTCCTCCACTTCGTTCTCTATTTCTTCCACGTCTATTTTCTCGAACGAATCTTCTTCCTCTTTTTGCTCCATCCTGGCTAGCAATTCCTCCTTTGCGTCTCGGAGTTCTTCTCTAGCTTTCTGCAAATCGTCCAGGACTATAGCAAAGGAATCCTGCACTTCTAGGAAATGTTTCTGCAGGTCTGTAGTTGGTGGCTTTTCGGGAATTGCTACCTCCAAACCATTTTCCCGCTCTATCCTGCGTATCTTTGGTAT